GGTAAGCCGATCACATAGATCCATTGGTGTGCTTGAGCTGCGGAGGCTATCAAGGAGCTCCGGCGAAGCTCGGGTGCCGAGATGGACTTGGCCCAGCTGAACGCAGGAGACCGCTGGATATGTGCACGTGACGTCTTTGATCGTGCTGCTGTGCTGGTGCTTCATTCTCGGCGCTGTCGCCGCATTGCCCTTCGCGAGGAACGGAGCAGCTGCTGGTGATCAGTGGTGAGGTCGAGGCGCCTAATGCACGAAGCAAAAGGCAGACGCCCGAGACGCAAGCTTCGAGCCTCTCACCGTCACAGGTGATTGTCGAAGCAGCTCAGATGGTGGCTGGTCGGATAGCCGAAGTGCGGCGCATAGAAACTCTCAGAGTTTCAGTGGGCACACTGCAGCCTTGTCTCAGGAACTCTGTGCCTTCTTAGTTACCTCTGTAACTCTGTGGTCAGTTTTTTGAACCCACATGAATCGTGTGTGATCCGCCATTGCTGATGAGAGAGAGAGCCTGTGATGGACTATCACGTAATATCACGGCGCATGTCGCAGCTTGTTCACTTCAAGCCTCTCCTTTCAATTCGATTTCTTTGCCGCCCGCGGGGCCCCTGCCTCAGAAGGCGGGCGGAAGTGTGCAGAGTATGGGGGATCATGTGCGTGGGGCAAACATGGGCCCTCTCTTTCTCCAGGCATGGCCTCTGTCAATCTGACGATCAAGCCCGTCCAGGCCAGGCTGCACGACTTGGCGATTGCAGGAAGGCGGATGTCAGGACAGGCTTGCATCCACCGTCGCTGCCAGGCGCCTGCTGGCGCCAATGCGGGCGAGTTTCAGGTCAGCATCGACACCACAGCTACCATAGAGGAGCTGAAGGAGAAGGCTGGGTGCATGGCAGTGGAGCAGAGACTTGAGATGCATTTTTCGAGGGGCATGCGAGGTTTCCGCACAAGTCAACATCCCAGCGAAGAACATTCGGCTGGTGTGCATCGGCCGCATCTGGCAGGCCAGGAATCAGAGCACTGCAGAGCTGCAGGGGGCTCTGCTGCTCCATGCTGCTGCACCGTGCAGGACACCCAGACCGTCGGGTCTTACGAGCCGAAAGACGGAGTCGTGGTGCACTGTCTAAACAATCCGTGTGGCCCTCGGAGATTTCGCTACACTGCAACACCGCTCTTGACCGAAGACGACATGCTTACGCGCTGCGTGACGCTGGCGGCCCTCACCTGCAAAATGCCGTGAGCTACCGAGGCAAAGGGAAGCCCCTCCCGCCACCAGCCAGTCGTTGGCCGGGGGCTTTACGATCTTCAAGGCCAAGGCCAAACCACAGATCCCGCCCAGGCTCCGGCGAACCCCATGGCGCAGATGATGGGCGCGGCACCCGCGCCGCAGGCCAACTCAGGTGCGGC